GAGCTATTTTGCACAGGTCCCTGTCCCGCAAGAAGTACACGATAGCCTTCAAACGCTGCAAGAACACAGGCCACCACTGACACATGCATAGGCATCGCTTAAGAATATTGTCCCACATATGTTTCCACCCTGGCGCCCGAACTGGCCTCGGGCATAATAAATGCTGCGGGGTGTCATTCGGACCGAATCGACCACCAATGGCATATATAAAACTTTGCAGTAAACCAACGGAGTCGCTCAGCAATCTCTCCGTGCCGCTGTCGGTGGTAATCGACACTACTGCATTGCGCATTGCTCGCAACGATGCGAAAGATGGCCCAGCAATCAGCCACGCTTGCCACAATAGTGCGAATGTCTTTGATTCAGCATCCAATCCATCCCGCGACAAGGTAATGCACGGGAGAAGGCGACGCTGTCGAAGTGACCCGCTGACAACATCTACGCTTGCAGCGTGCATCTCTGTACCCCTCCACTGGGGACTTCCGTCGACGAAGATGTAGATGTAAGTGCAGGATTTATTTTGACTCGCCCAAAGGGATCGGAAGTACAAGCATGATGCGAAGTCTAACCTGATCCTGCCTTTGCGAACGAGCTCCACGTTAATTTGTTTCACATCCTTGCACAACTCTGTGGCAGCCTCCCTGCTGCCAGTCGCAACCTCGCTGAACAACAACGTCGCCTCGCCAGAAGTGGCCTCGAAATCTTTCAACAAGCGCGTTGCCCTAATCCACCGTAGCACCTCGCGAGCAGGAGTTGCACCATATCTAGGTCCCCGCATGCCGCCTGCAGCCGGCCGTAGCTGATGTTCGAAATCTTCGGGCTCTCTGGAATCAAGAAAGCGTTTCACTTGTTTTTGAGATGGCCGAGTGGGGAGGTAAAGGTCTCTTTTGGTTCGTTGGGTGATCGCAATTGCCTTGAAGCAAGTCTGGGCGTCGCGGCCTTTAAACTCAGAGGCGACGCGAGGCGAGACAATAACAGTGTACATGGGCAGGGTCGTGTAATCCTGAGTCCACTCTCTCAAACATGGATACGATTGCGAAAGTACATCTAACCATTCACCGCCACACCTGTCGATGATATCTTGAGGCGAAGTTCTCGGATCTAGCTGCGCCGGTGCTTGAAGAAATGCGCTGAGACCCTCGTGCGTCGCGAAACCTCGAGCGCGAGCCCGACGCGCAGAAGCCTCTGCGGCAGCGACCTCAGCATGCCATTTCACGTGGTCCATGGCCAGAGCCTCGCTCGCGGCGCGAAGATACCGCGTGCCGACGACCAAGGGAGCTAAGAAGGGCTCGCCGTTGCAGTCAAAAACTTCCTCGGGGCCGCCCGTCGGCATGCGACGAGGCGGAGCGACTCCGTCTGGCCAAGCCCCGTCAACGCCGAAGACTAGGAAGACAGCGAGGAGGCCGTGGCCCAAGGCTTGCCTCCCTCGCCTTTCCCGCTCTGGCGCGGGGGCCTCAACGGTCGCATCTCCATCGGCGCCGTCATCTGCATCGCCGATCTCCTGGATAGAATCTCCAGCGATGCTATCATCCTCCATGCATCGCCACAAGAACGGCACACTCAGTGACTCACATGAAATATGAAGTGTTAGCGAAACGGTTTCGCAACCGATGTTTGAGCCAACGCAGCCACGCAGATGATGGGACTGATGGGGGGCCCAACAAGCTTTGTGGCAGTTCTATTTGCACACGTCTGTGAAATCATCAAAGAATGACTGTGCTTAGCGAATCGAAGAATTGTAGGACCAACGTCCTCGGCCACGATGTTTGGGGCCCACGGGCGCGCCCCCGCTCGATGCATCCTTTCAATTTACTGTGGCAACGCGCAACTACCGCGGCCAAGCTGAAAACGCGTGCGCGATCCATGAACCGTTGCGTTGTTGTGCTTCCGCTCTGGCCCCACATTCTTCTTCTGCTACAGATGCAGCGCGCAATGCCCGCTCAAGATATCCTCACAATTTTCGTTTTCGCTCTGGCACCGTGGCCGCGCTTGGGACATCGCTGCAATGTTTCCGCGCCCAACGAGACCCCCCGACGCCCGAAGCGGCGAGTAGGCGTGTCAGCGGAGTCCGCGTGCCCCAATGCGGGCCGTAGGCACATGATACGTATCCGCCAAACCCACTGTGGGGCATCAGCGCATGAGCGAACTGCCTAGGCCCGCGAGGGGGTATTGTGCGCGCGAGGGCAAGGTCCGTCAACCCCGCGGGGGGGGCGTGGGCGCATGCTTGCAATTCTGCTTATGCGTGCGCCAATGTCTATAGAACGTGCTCGCTCGAATATAAACAATTTGGTGCGCCAATAAACATTGTTATGTATAATGTACGTTTCGTTGAAACATGAAAATTCTACTACGCGGGGAAATTTGAAAATATTTCCTCCGTCATGCGCAGGGGGCGTGGGGAGCGTCTCCCCCGCCACAAAGGGCGGTTGAGACCTCATCCCCATGTGTCCACAGCGTGCGCAGCCTGCTCGTCGACGGGGCATTCGCTGGGCGCCGCCAGCTGCTCATCTGCGTCTTCGTAGCCCGCTTCGGCCCCCTGCTGTAGCTCGTTCAACGCGTCCCCGATATCCGTCGCGCCTTCGCCGTGGCCACAGTCGTCTCCGTGTTCGTCATCTGGCTCTGGCTCGGCTCCATCCTCGACGTGTCCCTCGGCGAGGTAGGCGCGCCTTCTCTCGCGCTTTCCTTCTCGGCGATCGCGCCCGCGTCGCCGGCGCCTGTCGTCGGCCACGAGCCCGCTGCCTCCGCGCTGCGTCGGCTCGAACTGTCGAAGTTCCCGTCGAAGGGCTCGCCCGCGCGATTCGGGCCGATCCCTTCGATGGCCGCCTCCAGCGCCATCGCGATTGCCATTATTCCTGAGTCCGTGACCAGGCCCTCCTTGTCGATCTTCGCGGCCTTGACCGCAGTTTACGCTTCGCTTCTCAGAGCACTGTAGAGCCTCGGGCCTAGCGGCCCAGTTTTCTTGAGCACGTCCTCCGTCGCGCCGACGCGCGGCGCGACGATCTTGTCTAGGTGCTCTTCCAGCAACTCCGGGGTGCCATCGTGAATTGGGGGTCCCTGCTCGAAGGACAGCGTCGGCGGCATGATGAGGGCGGTGATCGCCAGGGAAACGATCGTTCGTGTCGTCTTGAACAACGCAATGGTAGAGGTGCCGTGGACCGCCGCTCCGCGCGCGCCGATCTGAAATGCACTCGTCCGCAACAGCGCTGTTGTGACAAGCGCCCCCGCCACGCAAGGCCACCGATTGATGAGATGACAGCCTCGCGCTCTTTGATCGAACATGCGAGGCGGTCGCGCTGTAGCAGTGCTGTGCTCAAACGGACCCTCTGTGGGTAATTGTGCAGGGAGCCAGAAACAGCAGCGGCGCGCTAGCATCACGCTAGCACAAAACATACACGAGCGTGAGGGGGCCTTGCATTCTTAACCACGGATGTTAGTTCGCAAAATACGAATGACTCCCAAATCCACGCCGCTGCCACGGACCCAACCTCTCGGCGGCCGACATCATCATGCACCACTAAAACTGCCTCGCTCAACCGGTGGCCCGACGGCAACTCGTACCCTTCATGTCATGATTTCCTGGCGTCCAGGGTGACGTTGGCGATGTGGTCGGCCTTCGCGTTGTGGTTGCGGTCTTTCCATACCACGGGATCTGGGTGGTTCTGATGAGGCAACCACCCCGCGTCAAAGAGGCGTGCAGTATGGTCACAAATCATTCAGAATACCGCTGTGTTGCCGGAGCCCTCACGGAGATTTCTGCCCGTCACCAAATCCACTAATGGCTGGCAATCGCACAAAATGATAAACCTCTTGTCCCGGGTGTCCCCATGGAAGATGTCCTCATCGATGCCGTTCTATTCATGACAAATGGGTCAATCCTCAAGAAGGTACTGCTGCAACCAGTCTCGTGTACATGGGGCCTCGCAGGCCTCTTCCGAAGAGACTCCACCGGGCCCCGCACACGGGCGTGCGTGTTTTAAGGGCACACCACTTGCACGGGACTGTCTCAGATCGACCTGAACGGGCATGCCACGTCAATAAACAACATGGAGGAAACGCGTTGGCGGATGATTTTTAGGCCGGACCTGAACATTTCAAGGCCGATGCAAACGTCCTGGTGTGTTCCCCGTCGATGGAAGAAACCGCTCAAGTAACGCTTCCCGATTTATACGTCGTTCGGAAAATACGGGAACTCGCGCCCCGAACGTGGCTCGTGCATCTTAACGCATCTGCCCGGGCCTGCTCAATCACGACGCGCATGTACGGCGATGCCCTGTGTTGAAACTGTCACGCGCGCATTATCTTATCGGGAAGCACTCGTAAACGGTCGGCCTGGGCGCCATCGAACGCGGCGGGTATTGCATCAAACTGACGTGCAACACCGTGCCCAGTCTCAACCACAGTATTTCCAGAAACGCTGTTACCACTGAGTGGCTCGCTCTCTCTCTCTCTCTCCCTCTCTCTCTCTCGCTTCTGTTCGAATTGCGAGAGATTGCATGCACGGAGGGGCAGCACCATGAGCAGGAAAATGAGTTGGACTAAGACAGCGCAACTATTCATTCCCAAACAGTGCTCACACTGAGCTGCCCGTGCTTTCACTGTTTTGGGGCCCACATTCAAGTATCATTCGCCGAACTGTGTGCGCTCAGGCTTTCCTTACTCGCGATGTATGGAGTTGTCTGCGGCACCCGCAGTCGGGCAGTTTCCTCCATTGGCGTTCGCACACCGTGGTGTAAGGAATATCCATAATTAAGGTTCCGCACACACGGTTTTCTCCAATTTTCGCTCCTGAACTTGATTTCGACACGCCGCGGGGGACACGACAACCCACCCGCCGCATCACCCCTCGTTAATTCCCTTTGCGCCGTGTTTCTCCCCCCTCCCCACCATTGCTTGCCTCAATCCCCACGGAACAAATGCTGCTCCATCAATTCGTCGGCTTGCCTCTTGACTACGCTCTCCCGTGATATTCAACCACATGAGTCACAAAGCTCCCATAGCACCTCGAACATCGCGGTGCCCTTCCTCTGTCCGACGAACGCCTCCTGGTAGATAAATGCAACATTGGTGAGTACACTTGGCGAGCAGCCTTGTGACCACGGGAGTTTCAAAACTGTCAGCGCCCCGAAGCTGACCGTCCACAAGATAGAGGGGCGAGAAAGTGAGTTGGCCAAAGACCAGCATCCTCAGGAACACGGCGTTGACCGTCACATGACCTACAATGCATGACCTAAAATCACACACACATTACCCCCCTCATTCTTCCCATCCCCGTCTCCTGTTCCCCGCGGCCCCACCCTACTTTCCCCGTCCCCCAACTCCGTCCTCTACTTCTCGTCCTCCGTCCCGCGTTCCTCACCCCCGTCCCCGCCCTAATCTCCGTCCGCCGCCTCCTCCTCCTCCTGGTCTTTCGGGCACACGTTAATACGGACTACGTACCCCCCGAAATGCGGCGCCAATGTCGAATGATTCGGCGACGGCGAACGTCGATCTTGTAGCAAAACGGGACCCGCCGCTTGTCCACGCGCTCTACTAGTGCATGTTTGCGATTCCTCGACTCTTACTCAAGGGCAGCTACGCTCGCGCTTCGCGCTGTGCGATACTAACTTCGCTCTCTCACGCCGCCCCCCGGGGAGAAGAGGAGGACGAGAATGAGGATGAGGATGAGGAGGAGGATGAGGATGAGGATGATGATGCTTTCGGCCCTAAGAAGGCCCCAGGTGTCCCCAAGAGGCCCCTAGAAGATCCCAGACGCCCCCAACAGGCCCTCAGAAGGCCCCCAAGCGGCCCCGGGAGGGCTCCAAGAGGCACAATTCATTGCTTTCCCTTTGGTTTTGGAAAGATTTTGGCGTTTCCACCTTTTCGGCTTCGGCTTCCTGACACCCCAAGACGGCCCAAGAGGCCCCCAAGACCGCCCCAAGAGGGCCCAAGAGGCCCCCAAGAGGGCTCCAAGACGTCCCGAGAGGGCTCCGAAACAGCCCAAGAGGCCTCCAAGACGGCCCAAGAACGCCCCAAGAACGCCCCAAGAGAGGTCGCAGGGGGGGAACACGAATCAACATTTCGAGCTCTCGGCCCTAAGGACCCAGGTGTCCCCAAGAGGCCCCTAAAAGACCCCAGACGCCCCCAACAGGCCCTCAGGAGTCTCCCAAGAGGCCCCCAAACGGCTCCCCAGGAGGGCACCAAGAGGCAAAACTCTATGCATGTTCTTACCTTTCCGGCTTCCCGACACCCCAAGTGACGGCCCAAGAGGCCCCCAATACCGCCCCAAGAGGGCCGAAGAGGCCCCCAAGAGGCCTCCAAGACGGCCCGAGAGGGCTCCGAAACGGCCCAAGAGGCCTCCAAGACGGCCCAAGAACGCCCCAAGAACGCCCCAAGAGAGGTCGCAGGGGGGGAACACGAATCAACATTTCGAGCTCTCGGCCCTAAGAACCCCCCAGGTGTCCCCAAGAGACCCCTGTGAGACCCCAGGACGCCCCCAACAGGTCCTCAGGAGGCTCCCAAGAGGCCCCCAAGCGGCCACAGGACGCCCCCCAAATGCCCCCCCCCCTCCCGAGCACGCAAGCAAGTGCCAACGACCCGACGCGTGTAAGAGTCCCCAAGGGGCCAACGAGAGGCCTCCCGAAAGAGTCCCCATAGGCAAAACGCTTCCAGACGGCCCGCGACGCGTTCAAGACTCCCTCAGCGGCCACCAAGAAGCCTCCCGAGAGAGCCACCATAAGCAAGAATACATAATTCCCTATGCGTTCCCGAAGAAGCCCCAAACCCAAGAAGCATCCCTGAGGACTCTCGCCCACAAACCACGCACAATGGCGGGATGGGCCGAAAGCTCTTCGAACGCAGCCCCGGTATGGAAGAATTCAACAATGATTATCATCACCACCGTCATCATCGCCAGCATCGCCATCATCATCATCACCACCACCATCATCATCATCATCATCATCATCATCATCAGCATCATCATCATCATCATCATCATCAGCATCAGCATCAGCATCAGCATCAGCATCAGCATCAGCATCATCATCATCATCATCACCATCATTATCACCATCAACATCATCATCATCATCACCACCATCATCATCAGCATCATTAGCATCATCATCGTCATCATCATCATCATCATCATCGTCATCGTCATCGTCATCGTCATCGGCGTCGGCGTCGGCGTCGGCGTCGGCGTCGTCATCAACATCCACATCCACATCCACATCAACATCATCATCCTCATCCTCATCTTCATCTTCATCATCCTCTTCATCATCACCATCACCATCACCATCACCATCATCATCATCATCATCATCATCATCATCATCATCATCATCATCATCGTCATCGTAATCGTCATCTCCATCATCACCCACATCCTGATCGTCGTCGTCATGAACCTCATGCTCATCATATTTCTACGCTCCCCCCAATCATCTTCTTCCCCCATGGTCTTCCTCCCCCTTCTTCTCCTCATCCTCCTCCTATCCCGAAGCCCCCACGCAGCCACCTGGAGCCCCACACGCAGCCACTTGAAGCCCCACGCAGCCACCTGAAGCCCCACAAAGCAGCAAACACTTACAAGCCAAGTGAGCAACGACGATCGTCCCGACACCTCTCCAGACGCTCCAAACCAATCGCCACGAAGCTGCTCCACAGGAGCTGCTTTACCCCCACATGCCGAACGCCGCCCCTGCAGCTCCGCACCGCGAAAGACCACTCGGTCTGTCGACAACGGCGCAATTATGGGCCGGCGGAATGAGCGAAGCGATTCAATAATCGAACATACTCGAAAAATCGTACCCTGACTATTTTCTTTACCATCTTTGAACTTTTCCTCCTGTAGAGGGACAGGCCCAACTTAAAAGCGAAGCGCGATTCTAGCGCTGGTGTCCGGAGGAGGAGGAGGAGGGGGAGGAGGAGGGCCAGGACCAGGACCAGGAGGAGCAGGATGAGAGGGGGGAGGAGGAGGAGAATGAACACGAGGCCTGGAGGAGGGGGATCCCCCTCCCTCGTGACGGCCCTCGCTCCCGACGCCGGCCTGGCTCTGCCCAAAGCCCCCGGCGTGCTTTTGGGCCCCCAGAGGGCCTGCGGCCTCGGGCGCGCAGGCTGCCCGCGACCCGGCGCCCGAGCGGCTGGCCGCGCCCCCCGAAGACCGTTGCGGGCCGTGGGCATCCTGGGACCGTCTTGGGGGCCCCGTGTGAGCCTCTTGGGGGCCTCCTGGGCACCTCTTGGGGCCGTCTTGGGGCACCATCAGGAGCCTAGGGGGCCATCTTGGAGGAGATCGGTCAAAGAAGGGAGAGGTTCCAATTACGCCCCCCCCCCCCCCAGGAGGCCAGAATGTGGCCAGCACCTTTGTAAAAACAATCAATGAGTTCGGCCCTCTCGCCGAGGCCATCCTGAACGCTGCACCGAGGCGTAAGAACTCGCGTTTGGAGGACTCAGGTTGGCCCGACGGGGCCGTCAGACCGTCGGAGAAGTGACGGGAGCCAGTCTGGAATCTGATGCGAGCTCCGGCTGCAGACATCCCACGAACACTGGGCTGTCGAAATTCAGGACGGGCCCTCGCGATGGGCCCGTCAAAAAGCAAGCGTCGGCAAGCCCGAGCCCCAGCGAACTCGAGTCTTACGTTTCCCCGAGCCGAGGGGGAACGCCGACAGATCGACCAGAAGCGCCTGATAACGAAGGCCATGGCGTAAGGACGCGCAAGCTGCGGTGGATGCCCGCGCCCACCTCGCCGGTCGAAGGCGTCCAACTGGCAATGTTCGCATCAATTCGCAACGGACCCTTCCTCCTGGGCCGCACTCTGCAATCTCCAGTGCTGGGCACAACCTAAACGACACCTTCCGTGACGAACCCCCTTCCGTGACGAGCCCCTCACCCTCGAGGCTCCCCTCCGGCCGCCTGCCCTGGGGCGAGGGGACGTGGTCTTCACGCACGAAGGGGGTTGGTTCGCGAGGGGTCGGTTAAGCCACCCCCGGCATTACGAACTCAACCCGCCGCAAGTGTGCGTCCACCACTGCGAACTCCCCCTCCCTTGCCCGAGACGCTGGCGATGCGATGCGATACGACCACCGTTGCGGACAGTGTCCGGGCCTAGCTCAGACCAGGTGGGTGAGGCCGTGGCCTCGAAAATTTGACAATGCGAGACACGCAGTAAGAAGTTAGAGATGGTACCTTGGTCGCGATGGCGGCCGCTGGCAGGGGGGCTCACGAGTCACCAACGACGGGGCCCGCCGCTGCTGGTGCCGCGGGGGCTGGCACTGGCGAGGCTGCCAGTGCGCGCGTGGGCGAGCCCGGCACCACCCCGATGGGTAGGCGGGGGCGCTGATCGATGCAGGAAGTCGGCGCTCTCCTGCAACTTGCCTGCGCCGTCCCGGGCGAAGGCAGCGCCTTCCTGCCACCACCGTCCTGCCCGCTGCCGAGCGATCCGTTGTGGGGTGCCTGTCCTGCTGGCGCTGACGAGCCCAGGGCACGGGCTTGCCATGAGGCAGCCTTCGCAACAATAAAGGAAGAGATGCCGAATACGTGCGGTGGACCAGCTCGCGGCTGCGTGCCCGAGGAGCTCAGCGGAATCTGATCAGCTCATCTCGCCACAGGCATGCGCGGCCTTCGCAGCGACCACAACCAATACACTTCGCTCAACAACCCTGCTCCTTGCCGCCGCTAACCTTGCCCTGGCCGCCCCTGGGCATACTGCAAGCCTCGTGAAACAAACCACTCGCACGAACATGCCATCACAACAGACGCCACGACTCCAATGTGCTGAGCTCCACATCCCGGGGCCTCCTGACTACGAACCTTGAGCGAGAGTGGCCACGCACGGAGGAGCAGGAGAGCGAGGAGCAGGAGGACACGCACGAGGACAGGCAGGACAGGCAGACAAGGAGGGCAATGTCCTTGGAGTCGAGCTGGTCTGCCGCTGCGAAGCGGCGGCCCAGCAGGTCGCTGACCATCGAGGCTCGGTCGCCCCAAGGAGTGGCGTGCATCCCGCCGACGAAGGCCCAGTTATAGCTCCTCGCCGTGGAGGGATCGATAGGTGGGAGGGGGAGCGGAGGGGGAGGAGCTGTAGATGGGGGGACAGGGGTATGGATTCGGGGGGGGGGGAAAGGGGCGAGAGGGGCGCGCGAGCGAGGTAAGGGGAGGAGAGGGTGGGCGAGAGAACGAGAGAGGGGCGGGGTGGGGGGGGCAGCCAGGGAGGAATAAGCAGGGAAATTGTCAAGGGAGCCTGAAACGAAACTCCGAAGCGAAAACTAGCGACCCGCCTCCCCCAGGCCTCCCTCTGAATTCCCCTTCTCTTCCACTCCCCATTGCCACCCCTCCACCTTTCCCAACCTCCCTTGCTCCTCTCTCACCCTCTTTCCATCCCATCGGCCTCCCCTCCGCCTCTTCCTCCCCTGCTGGCTCCGTCAACTCGCAGCCCTCATAGCTGCAGTGCCCGCCGTGCGGGGCGCTTTCGGATGATCTCCACCATCGCCAATTCCTGTGTCCTTTGACTGCCCCCGGAGGGAGAGGTGGTTGAGCAAGGACATTCCGGAAACTTTCGGACCGCAGGTATAGGGTATAGGGCCTGCCTGGCTACTGGTTTTGGGGTGGAGCCCGACTTATTATCGCCCCCCCCCTTTCCCCCAAGCAAGGGTGTTGCACCCCAGGCCTCCGCGTTGCTAGGCAGTGGCCTCCGACTCCTCTCCTTCCTCCGCCCTCCCTCCTCCTCTTCTTGGTGGCCTTCGCTTGGGCTTGGCAGCCTGACAAGTGGCGTAGTGCCTCTGCCTCTATCGGGATTTCACTGCCTCGGGAAGGCCCGGACCAGGTGAGTGAGCTGGGTACCACCCACGGGTACTCGAGCTCGTCAACGATCTGCGGGGCCACACCCCTATGATAGCCAGTGTTTCAGATAGCGTATGGTGGGTGACAACCTGCTCGGCCTGCGATTATTATACGACCGAAGGGCGAATGCCTAAGCTTGCGCTCCAGTGTCCAACGATCTCCCAAACGCCAGGGGCCAGGGCCCGCTGGAAACAGATCGTGGAGCAGATGCACACTTCGGAAAAGAAAGGGCCAGTCAAGGTGTTGGACCCTTTAGTGATGATTTTTTTGTAGGACTGGGTCGTGCTGAGAGCGTTTTGTGCAATGCAAGCGGCACCCGTCGGACGCTCGAGGCTCCTCCAACTTCCACCCCGAGGCCTCCTTCTCCTCCCATCCTCGTTCTCGTCCTCTTCGTCCTTCTCGTTCTCCTCCTCCTCCTCCTCCACCACTTTGTTCCCATCCTCTCTCCTCCGCCTCCCATCCTCTTTTTTCTCACCTCCCTTCCCTCCTTCCCTTGCTCCACCTCCTACCTCCCTCCCTCCCTTCCTAACGCAGGCTTGCTGCTATTTGCTCCAGTTCTAATTTCAACTCTCCTATATTCCTACGTTCTGCTTCCTACTGCGAATTATTGAAGTCCGCGCGGGGGGGGGGCCGAACAAGGCCCTGGTTACCACCACCTGGAAAAACTCTGGGGATTTATGGGGGGTCCAGGGAGGGACACGTCAAAATGCATGCGATTCGGATGCCCCGAAACCATTATCCCTCAGAGATTACAGATTCGCGCGCCCGAGACAGACCATACTGTTATGTAAATTACGCAGTGCTTGCGCCCCTGGGACCGTAAACCCTTGCTAATTACGTTGTGTTCGCGCTCCCTAGACGATAGCTTCTTATAAAGTATACGATATTTGCGTCTCCGAGGCAATGCTCTCTCTCTCTCTCTCTCCCTCTCTCTCTCTCTCTCTCTCTCTCTCTCTTCTGTGAATTACACGAATCCCTAGGTACGGGACTCCGTGCACGATGCGAAGAGCGTGGCGAAAAACCAGGGTTCAGTCGTAGGCACACCGCTCACCCGCACTACGGCGGGCGAAATACAAATTGGGGGGGTGGAAGAACCGACATGCGCCCGAGCCAGAAGGCTGCGGCCGAGCGGGGAGGAGGGAAAAGCGGGGAAAAGAAGGCAGGTGCACACCGAAATGGGGTCCTCCCGTTTCAACTCCGCCCAAACAGAACTATATTCCCTACTGGGCTCCGTGCGCGACGCGAGGAGAGAGGGGCCTATCTTAGCGCGGCGAAGAGCCGGGATTCCGTCGTACGCAGACCGCTCATCCGACCCAAACCACGCCATGCACACTTCCCCTTCCTGTCAAAACCTGCCAGGACCAGGCGCGTCGGTCGGCCCCTCAAGCGCGCGGGGCCTGTCCGCCCCCACGCGCGGCGCGGAACAAGCTACAAGGCCGCCCTTCCCTGGGCGCAGCGTGAACCTATGGGGGGCAGGGTGGCCGCCGAAAGCGCGTGCTACAAACGAGTGCGGACGTAGCCGCTGGCCGAGCCGTGGAAGGCCGGAGGGCGGCACCTGCGCGCCGCGCTCCGCGGGGGCCCAAGGGCCATCCTTCCCTCTACCTTCCGTGGGCCTCCCGGCCGCTGCATCTCGATCCCGGGCGGGGCTCCTTGGTCTACCAGAGGGTGCATCGCTGGGGGTCATGGGTGAACCTCACTCCCCTTGGCTCCTCTCGTGTCCCATCCGGTGTCCGTCGGTTGGCGCCCCCCAGGGTGAGATGGTAGTTCTGGGCTGACATGGCCTCTGCCAAGCCCTTCTGGGGTTCGTGCGCTTCCCGGAACGAGACGTGGAAGCCGGCGCTGGACGCCCGCCGCCCGAACCTGTCTCTCCTGGCCCGGGGCCGCGTGGTACATGGCGGTGGCCCCGCCGATCCTCAGGGAGTGACTTCCGATGCGTGAGGGGTGGGCCCCTTGGTCGAGCAGCGCCTTGATGTCCTGCCGTCGGATGGGTTCCCCTGCCTCGTCTCGGAACATGGGGCCCCTCCTTCCGACGTCCAGCGCTGGGGGGCCAGCTGCTCCAGCTCGGCCATGGCCTTGGCGGGGCACAAGGCGTTCCCGGTGGCATAGTGGTTCCGGCAACATCCGAAATTGCACTGGTCTGCCATGTCCCCCTAATGTAGATTCGTCCACGGACCCGACGGGGGTGCAGACTGCCCCCTCCTTCCTCGGGGCAGCGCCCCGCCCGGGCAAGACCCGGCTCGCTGCCCGCGGGCGCCCCCCCGAGGCGTTGGCCAGGAACCCCGAGGCGCCTTAAACGCGAAGAAAAATGCGACCGAGAGGCCCACTTCGCTGCATCCTCGAGCCTCCTAATTCGTGTTGAGCTTCTTCTGCAGCCGGCTCATCATCTCCACCGTTGCGGGGTACCTCCTGTTCTGCATGGTTCGCAGCCTCTCCAGTCATCCCAGCGCAACCCACAGCCGGGGGGCCAGCTCCAGCGGGTCTGGGTAACCCGCGGCCGCGTGGTAGCGCCGTGCCGCCATCAGGTTAATTGTCCCCTCCGAACGCTTCTGGGCGTGGGCCAGGTGGACTGCCCAGTCCATGCAGGAGGGCATCCTCGCCTTGTTTCCTCCTTTCCCTTCCCGGGCCGATCAGATGCGGGCTTCGGTCCCGGGCCCCCAAGAAGAACGGCCGCTGCCTCCGGCTGATCACGTTTGATGGTCGGGTCTCCTTTTGCCGGGAAGATGTAGCCGTCCCGCGCCGCCTCGCTTCCCCCCCTCCATCGCCCTCCGCCGATCTGGGGCCCGGTTCCCGTCCCGCTCCCTGGGCCGACGGCCTGGGCTCGGCACTGGGCGCGGCCTTGGATGGCTTCCTGGGCCCCCAGCCGCGGGCTGCGCAGGTGGCGCCCCGTCCGGTCCGACCCGTTGTGGGTCGCGCCCCCGAACGGCTGGCTGGGATGGGCTCCGTGGGCTCGTCGCCCCCCCCCGCCCGACCGCTCCGGGCCTCTCTCAGCCAGCGCTCGTAGGCCGCCAAGGGGTCGTGCGGATCCGACTTCCAAGCCGCAAGCCAGACGGCGTTGGCGGTGGCCATAAACTCCTCGTCAGCATCCCTGCAGGCCCCCGCGCGCGTAGGCTCGTCGGCCCTCCCCCTTCCTGGGCCGTTGCCGCCGCTCAGAGGATTTGGCGGGCTGGCAGTGGGCCGGCTGCTCCGGCGAGGGGCGCCCCGTCTCGGCGGGCATCCCCTGCTTCCGTCCGACCCTCCGGTCGCTGAGGGTGCCCCCTGAGATCTGCCGGGCTTCCGAGGGGCCCCTGCGCCTGACCATGGTCCCTGGGCCTCTGGCGTCCTCCAGCAACATGTTGCCGTGCCCCGCCACTGTGTCCAGGCCGTAAGCTTGCGGTAGGTCGGGCCCAAGGCTGTTGGGGCTGATGATGGGGTGGCCGCGGGCGCGTCGTCCTTCCTTCATCCGCTTTGGGGTCCCTGACTCTCCGAGCTACCGCCGCCAACGGCGGGGGGGCTAGCTTCGCCCGAAGTTGCGCCCCGGGGCCTGGGGGCCTCCCCAGGTCACCTTACCCGTTCCTTCCGGTGGAGATCCGCGGGGGCGGCCTCGGACGGCAGGAGCGCGCTCCCCGGCGGGGTCGGGCGAGCGCGCGCCGAGCTCGCCGGAGGTGGCTCAGAAGGTCCGCCCCCCCGCTTCTCCGACCTTCCCAGGCAGCCGGCAGGCTGCAGGCCCTGGCGCAGCGGCCCCCCGGTGGTGGGTGTGGACGACCTCCTCCGCGGTGGTGTAACTAACCATGACGCTCCGAGGCGGCCTGCGCCCCGCCCAATTCCGTTTCGGGCGGCCCATCGGCCAGCGCGAGGGCGGCCTCATGGGCGACCGCGACGCGCGCGAAATACGCCCCCCCCAACCCTTGGGGTCCCATCCGAGAGAGGCGGCAACCCACGTCTCCTGGGCGGTGGCGCGAATCCGGTCGGCGTGCCTGACCTGCAGGGGCCGCAAGTAGTGGGCTTCCCGCCCGGGGTGGTGGACCTTGGCTGCGAGCGTCGGCTGGGCGGCCCCAAACAGCGCCCCCATCCCCTAGCAGCCCGGCAGTGAAGGGCCAGGGTTGCCCCGTACTCCATTAGCTGGACGTCGTCGAGATTGCGTGCGAATGGGCGTTGGGCCCTCCGGCGCGCCATCGGCTGCATGGCGATCTTCCGATGGGCTTTGGGTCCCC